CCCCGGGAAGAAGCCATGGTGGCAGTGGCAGGGGAAGGAGCCGTGACTGTTGTGGCAGATATGGTCACAGGGGCCAGGCTGTGCCTGGCACTCATCTACATCTGGAAAAGAAGGGGAAAGGGTCAGAGCTGCGCCAAGGGTACGGGGCTCATCTGGCAGGGCAGGGGATGGAGGGGGCATGGGGCGGTGCAGCTCTGGGTCTGGGTGAAGCTGGGACACAAAGGCATCTCCAATGCCTGCAGCCACGCAGCTGTGGTCCTGCCACCGCTTGTCCTCAAGGCTGTCAGGTGGCAGATGCCTCCTCACTCCATCAACTCCTGCACAGCCACAGTCTGTCCATCCTGCCCCCCGTGTTTTGGGTTGGCCGGGACCAGGGCTGTGAGCACAACAGGGCACCCCAGAAAACAGTGTCCTGGCTCCCAGGGCAGCACGGCTGCGCCTGGCAGCGGCAGGCGGGTGGGCACCGTGGGCTGCCAGCCCCGCTGCCTGCAGGTACTCACCCAGGCACTGGCTGGCAGCGGGATCAAGGGGGCGGAAGCCCAGGCGGCAGCGGCAGGCGGGTGGGCACCGTGGGCTGCCAGCCCCGCTGCCTGCAGGTACTCACCCAGGCACTGGCTGGCAGCGGGATCAAGGGGGCGGAAGCCCAGGCGGCAGCGGCAGGCGGGTGGGCACCGTGGGCTGCCAGCCCCGCTGCCTGCAGGTACTCACCCAGGCACTGGCTGGCAGCGGGATCAAGGGGGCGGAAGCCCAGGCGGCAGCGGCAGGCGGGTGGGCACCGTGGGCTGCCAGCCCCGCTGCCTGCAGGTACTCACCCAGGCACTGGCTGGCAGCGGGATCAAGGGGGCGGAAGCCCAGGCGGCAGCGGCAGGCGGGTGGGCACCGTGGGCTGCCAGCCCCGCTGCCTGCAGGTACTCACCCAGGCACTGGCTGGCAGCGGGATCAAGGGGGCGGAAGCCCAGGCGGCAGCGGCAGGCGGGTGGGCACCGTGGGCTGCCAGCCCCGCTGCCTGCAGGTACTCACCCAGGCACTGGCTGGCAGCGGGATCAAGGGGGCGGAAGCCCAGGCGGCAGCGGCAGGCGGGTGGGCACCGTGGGCTGCCAGCCCCGCTGCCTGCAGGTACTCACCCAGGCACTGGCTGGCAGCGGGATCAAGGGGGCGGAAGCCCAGGCGGCAGCGGCAGGCGGGTGGGCACCGTGGGCTGCCAGCCCCGCTGCCTGCAGGTACTCACCCAGGCACTGGCTGGCAGCGGGATCAAGGGGGCGGAAGCCCAGGCGGCAGCGGCAGGCGGGTGGGCACCGTGGGCTGCCAGCCCCGCTGCCTGCAGGTACTCACCCAGGCACTGGCTGGCAGCGGGATCAAGGGGGCGGAAGCCCAGGCGGCAGCGGCAGGCGGGTGGGCACCGTGGGCTGCCAGCCCCGCTGCCTGCAGGTACTCACCCAGGCACTGGCTGGCAGCGGGATCAAGGGGGCGGAAGCCCAGGCGGCAGCGGCAGGCGGGTGGGCACCGTGGGCTGCCAGCCCCGCTGCCTGCAGGTACTCACCCAGGCACTGGCTGGCAGCGGGATCAAGGGGGCGGAAGCCCAGGCGGCAGCGGCAGGCGGGTGGGCACCGTGGGCTGCCAGCCCCGCTGCCTGCAGGTACTCACCCAGGCACTGGCTGGCAGCGGGATCAAGGGGGCGGAAGCCCAGGCGGCAGCGGCAGGCGGGTGGGCACCGTGGGCTGCCAGCCCCGCTGCCTGCAGGTACTCACCCAGGCACTGGCTGGCAGCGGGATCAAGGGGGCGGAAGCCCAGGCGGCAGCGGCAGGCGGGTGGGCACCGTGGGCTGCCAGCCCCGCTGCCTGCAGGTACTCACCCAGGCACTGGCTGGCAGCGGGATCAAGGGGGCGGAAGCCCAGGCGGCAGCGGCAGGCGGGTGGGCACCGTGGGCTGCCAGCCCCGCTGCCTGCAGGTACTCACCCAGGCACTGGCTGGCAGCGGGATCAAGGGGGCGGAAGCCCAGGCGGCAGCGGCAGGCGGGTGGGCACCGTGGGCTGCCAGCCCCGCTGCCTGCAGGTACTCACCCAGGCACTGGCTGGCAGCGGGATCAAGGGGGCGGAAGCCCAGGCGGCAGCGGCAGGCGGGTGGGCACCGTGGGCTGCCAGCCCCGCTGCCTGCAGGTACTCACCCAGGCACTGGCTGGCAGCGGGATCAAGGGGGCGGAAGCCCAGGCGGCAGCGGCAGGCGTGTGCCCCAGGGGTATTGGTGCAGAGCTGGCTGCAGTTGTGCAAGCCCTGGGCACACTCGTCGATGTCTGGTGGTGGGGAAGAGAGTGGCACAGGGTTACAGCACGCGGCAGGAAGGCAACACGGCCCTGTTGCTGCTGTGTGGGCAGCGCTGCCTGCTGCACGCCATCCCTTCCAATTCTGCACATCTGGCTGTGCTCCCAGGGCTGGGAGCAGGGAGGGGCAGGGGCAGAGCTGCCCAGGGCCACCGTGCCCCCTCCAGCCAGCTCCTGACCCTGGGGCCGGGAGAGCTGGGGGTGATCCCCACTCCCAAGCACCCTCCCCATGCAGCCCCAGGACAGGGTGGGCAGGAGCATCGGCACAGCCCTGCCCTGCCCAGCTCAGCAGGCGGGGCTAATACACAGCATATAGTTTATTGGGAGGGATTCTCCAGGAGAGGGGCTGGAAGACTGAGCAGGGTCCGACTCCAAACAGTGGGGTCAATACATTAAAAAACAGACCAGGAGGGTCCTTCCCCCGCAGGGCTGGGGAGGGAGGTCCCCGCCACCGAAGAGGGGGCAGGCAAAGCACACACGTCGCAGGCCAAACCAGCAGGCACATGGTACGGTATCAAGGCGACGGAGCAAGCGACTGCCCGGGAGGCGCCGGCATGGCAGGAGCAGCACTGGGGTGGGGAGGTGCCGGTCAAGGGGTGCTGCCCCGGGGCTGCTTTCCCAGACACGGTTCAAGGGGCAGCCAGGCTCCATGCCTGTCCCACTTGCAGGCCACCCTGGTAGGGCACAGCCAGCACTTCCAGGGTGGTTCAACATGGAGAGAAAGAGAGAGAGAAAGAGACAGGCAGAGGCCGGCCAGTCCTTCCGCCAAGGCTGCTCTGGCGTGTTACAGGCAGGGATTAAAGTGCATAGAGGCAAAGGCAGAGTCCGAGAACTAGAGGGAGGAGGGCACGGCGGAGGGGCCCAGGCCAGCTCCCGGCAGAGGGGTATCCCCCAAAAAAGGCCACTTGAGCTGCACATAGAAGGAGAGAAGGAGCAAGAGAGAAAAAGAGAAAGAAAGAGAGAAGGGGAGTCAGTGGCAGCTCAGCAGGAGGCAGAGGATGAAGAGATATAGAGCTAGGGTGCAGGTGGCTGGGCAGCCACCTGGAAGGTTACAGGATGCAGCCAGGCCTTTGGCAGGGGTGCAACAGCATCCCAAGGTGGTGCTCTGGGGCTGCTGCCCACTGGCTTGGCCAGGCTGTGGTGGCATGGGGTCAGGGCGCCCCAGCCATCACTCACCCACACAAGCTGTGCCATCCTCGTTGCTCCCCCCCAGAGGTAGCCACACAGAAGCTATGCCTCTGCCCAGGAGGCTCATGGCACAGCCAAGGCCACCTTACCGCATCCCTGCTGCCCCTCCATTGCTTGTGGCTCTAGCACAATGCCTGCCACATGCCAGCCATGCCTCCTGCCCCCAGCACAGCACTCTCCACCCTCCCCGTGACACCACAGTCCCCTTCTAGAGCTGTGCTGCTGGCCCCATTCCCAGGCCACATGCCAGGCAGACAGCTTGTACCCTGCATTGAGCCACACGGCAGCCCTGCCTGCATGCCCAGCCACCTCCCTGGCTGCCACCTCCCTGTAGCAGGGTGCTGCCCTTATGCCCCCCTCGGGGCCGTGCTGCAGTATCCCAGCTGCAGGCTGGCCTGTGTCCCCAGCAGCCACTCACCTACACAGCGTCCATTCTCGTGCTGGGAGAATCCCTGCCCGCACTGCATTTGGGGAGAAGCAGAGACCGACGGGATGGGGAGGAATCAGCCCTGGGTAGCCACCGAGCCAGCAGAGCTCAGCCGCTCTTTCCTGCCTCCCGCCCTGCACCCACACCTGGCCCTCACCTCCAGCAGGGCAGGCACGAGTGGCTCCTCTGCATCCAGAGGGTAGGGGACCTCCAGGACGGAGTTGGTCTCGCTGCTGGCCACGGCTCGTGCCACGACGCGGCCATCGGGCCAGGTCACCTCCAGGCTGCTGGCTTTGTCATGCCCTGCAGGCACACAGCCTGTCAAAGGGGGGGTCTCTGGGGCAGGCAGGGGGATGGTAGGGATGGAGGGACAAAACCTCCCCTTACTCCCCGAGCCGGGCCCCAGGTGCCTGTGCTGACAGCCCATGCACAGGGATGCAGCATGAGGGGTGCACATGGAGATGATGGGATGCCCTGCCAGGGGGCAGGGACACCCCTGCAGGCACAGCTGCCAGCTGTGCTGAGCCAGGGGAGTGTTAATGGGCAGGGAAAGCCCTGGTTCCTGGGCAAAGCAGCAGGCAAGGGGTGGAGAAGGGGAGAGCTGCTCCTTGCAGCAGGGCTGCAGTAGCTGGGCACCCTGCCCACAGCCTCCCCTGGAGCCTACCATGCCCAGGGAGATGGACATGGATGACTACTGTGCTGCAGGGTGCTGGGGCAGCAGAGGTGACCCCTGCCCAGGGGGGTGCCAGGGAGGGCTGGGGGTTGGAGGCAGCCCCTTGCCCCCCGGCTCACCCAGTCCAAAGTGCGCCACAGGCTCCATCTCACAGAGGTACCCCGATCCACCGTCGATGATACGCAGGTGGGCCCCGCTACGCCGCGTGAAGAGCACCACTTTGGCTCCCCGTGCAAAGGCCCCAAAGCGGGTGCGGGGGATGACGCGCAGCCAGTTGTTGCCGGCACCCTGCGAGGCAGGAGGGAGCACTGAGACTGAGCTGGGAGAGGCGAAAGAGATGGGGACAACACGAGGACCCCCTGCTTGACTCACCTGGGTGCCCTTGAAGATGGAGATTGGCTGTGCCATGGACTCGCCGTGGGACAGGATCAGGTCCAGCATTCCATCGCCATCAAAATCTGTCACTGCACCTCCTGCAAGGACAGAATCAGATTATGCCTGGGGCCCGGCCCCCCGTCTACCCAGTACTACACCCTGCTGCCGGTGTGCGCTCCCACAGCTGGCAGCAGCACTCCCGGCAATGCAGGGGCAATAGGGAAGATGGGGTGACCCCAGTGCAGGAGTAAGGGTCCCTGTATGGCTGGCACCCTGCGGTCAGGTGGGTCAGCTCCCCGGGCAGTGGAGGGGACAGGCAGTGCCTGGGGGCCTGTGCGACATAGGAGGCTGCCTGCCCCCCTCCCAAATGCAGAGGTTGGCTTTGAACAGCGGGCACCCAGGAAGGCGCCCCCCAAGAGTGAAGCCCTGGGCAACAACTGGAGATGGTACCCTTAGCTAGGTACAGGTAGAGAGAGAAAGCATGGGGCCGCTCCTGGGTGATGGGGGCTCCAGTGAGCTGGTGGGGAGCAGGCAGGTGACCAAGCCAGGCATGTGGCATCCCCAGGCACAGAGGGTGCCAGGCAGTGCTGTGGCACACCCCCAGCATGGGCCACCCCTGCCAGGACTGGGGGAAACTCACCTGTGCCCCGTTCCTCAGGCTCCAGTGCATCCCCTGGATTCAGCTCTTCCACGATGGGGTCTGAGTTCTCCCTGCGGATGAGCCTGCCGAGCACAGACAGGGCATTAGTGCCAGCCTCTGCGGCCTCTGGCAGCTCCTGGGAAGTGCCTATCCCCCCCGAGCAGCCTGGCAGAGAGGTGACAGTGCTGGTGGCAGCCAGGGGTGATGCTGGTGGCTTTGCAGGGTGGATGGTGGACAGGACTGGGCCCTGCCTGTTGGACCTCACATCCCCGCTCCATGGAGGGGCAACAGGGATGTCATGAGAGCCTGGCTCTTGTGAGTCTGAACTGCGGAGCAGCAGTGCCATCTCTGAACACTGCTGCATCACTCTGGGACTGGAGACCCTCCCCCCCCAGGGGCTCCCCACCACGCCACTGCCCCACATCAACCCACGGGTGCTGGCACCAGGCAGACAACCTGCTCCCACCACCCTGCATGCTGGGTGAGGAGGTGCCACGCAGCGGTAACAAGGAATTGATCCCCACAATTAACAGGAGCCACAAACAAGCTTCCGCGCAGCTGCTAATCAGTGGTGCTGGGGACCCCAGGGGCTGCTGCAGGCATGATCGCAGCGGCTGGTAATGACACCGGGAAGGGCTCAGTCACGGTGCCTTTTATTAGCCGAGCCTGAGCAGTGGCACTGCTGGAGAGGAGCCCTGTGAGCCTGGCTGTGCCACGAGGGCTGCTCGGCCCCCCCGGTACCCGCAGGGCTGGTACCGGAAGAGGTGGTTGGCAGAGGAGCCACGGTAGGCGATGTTGTTGAAGAAAACCTCCAGCTCCTGGTCGTTGTCGAAATCTGCTGCGATGACAGTGCGGACGGGGGACGGCATGGAGAACTTGGGGGTGGCGATGTCCTGCACAAGGGACGGGCATGGGGTGAAAAGGAGCACAGGGAGCAGGACACCGGGTCCCGCTGTGGTGCTTTGGCTCCCCTCCCCGCTGGGAATTGAGGCTGAAAGCCACATAAGGGTGAAGCCAGGCCCTCCAGCCAAGGAGGCTCGGCAGCAAAGCTGGCAGTGTCAGGGTCCTGGCCCCAGCCCTCACCCGGAATCGGATGCGCCCAGGGGCCCCGGTCTGCAAGTAGAGGCGGTGCGGCCCATTCCAGTTGCCGTAGACAATGTCCACCCGGCCATCGCGGTTGAAGTCAGCCAGCGCCACGCCACGTCCGTGCTGGTAGGGGTCATCCAGCCCTGGGGGGCCGCAAGGGGACGGGGGGAGACAGGACCCCCTCCCTGCCTCTGTCTCCCTGGGATGCCTCCCAGTATGTGCCCCGCAGTCCCCAGACTGGTCCTCCCCACACAGGGCTGCATCCCTGCGCTGACGGATGCCCCAGTGCACTTTGGCCACCCCCTGCAGTCAGTGGGGCTCTGGGTCCCCAGGGCTGTCCCTCCACTCTGAGCTCAGTCTGCCCAGGCAGGCAGGGGCAGGTGGAGCCAGCCCTGTCCTGGGGTCCCCGACCTGGGTCCTCCCTTCTGCTCCCCCTACTCACCCACAGCAGCTGCCACGTCCTGGTATGTCCCGTCCCCCCGGTTGTGGAAGAGGAAGTTGGGGCTGTTCTCATTACCGCAGAATATGTCAGAGGCACTGTCGCTCAGGATGGGGCCCACGGCCACCCCACGGCCCCCTGGGGACAGCAGCCCAGGGGTGAGAGGGCAGCCAGCACCCTTCCCCAGGGGGGTTCACACCCCCAACACCCCCTCAGTGCTGCCCACCCAGTGCTCCCAGGACCCCCGGCATACCCTCCTCACCCACCTCCCTCCTTCAGTCCCTCTCATCAGGAGCTAATTGGGCCTGGCAGCTGCTTGTGTCACTCCCAACCCTAATCACTGCCATTACCATGGTGACAGTACTCCTAATTAGTGACGATTTACTGCTGGGGAGACAGGGCACAACAGCTGACCCCATGGTGGTGGGACAGCGTGGGGTGCAGACTGGTACATTCTCCACTGCCCTGCTCGTGTGCCCACGTTCCCGTGCCATGCTGCCAGCCCTGCGGATGCTGTGGGCTCCAGAGGGACCAGCCTGACTGCTGGGCAGGGTGATGGTGGGCAGGGGGATCCTAGGCGAGCATCCCGTGGCCCTGGTCCCTTCCACGGCCTGTGGGGCTGCCACTAGATGGGGCAGTCAGGCAGCCTAACGCATGGCACGGGCCACTGCCTGCGCTGCCCTGCCTGCAGTGGGGTCCCACGCTCACCGTGCCCAGCAGCACCCCGTCCCCTCCACGGGGCCGCAGCAGCTGGGTACCTGTGTACTTGCTGACACCAGCCTGGGCAGCCACGTCCACCAGCACCACGACACCGCGGGCAGGGTCACTGGCAGCCACGTCCATCTCGATCAGGGCGTGGGGGCCCACGTTGCCGCTGGCGTAGTTGGCGATGTAGATGGAGTACCTGCCGGAGCCCTGCGGCCGGCGGCACCTCCTCAGCACCCACCCACGCAAAACCCAACTCCACAGGGACCATGGGATCCCTGCCATGGGGCTGGATGCTCTCATGGCTCCATGGGACCAGGCACCACTACCATGTGCTGAGCAAGAGCTCTGCAAAGCCCATGGTGAAAAGCACCCTAGGAGTGGGGATGTACCCCATTGCTTCCAGGACCTCTGCGGTCCCCAGGCTCAGGGTGCTGGCACAGGGCACCCTGTCCCCCCAGCACCCCCGGTGTGCCAGGTCCTCCCCATCCCCACCGCCTCCCTTGTCCCATGCAGCAGCTGGACCCGAATTAAGGAAAAACAATTGGAAAAAAACCACTGGGGGAGGAGGAAGAAGAAAGAGCAGGTGACAGGAACATAAATCACCTCGACAGGCACGTTTATCAGCTGGCGGCAACCGTGTGGACAGGCACCCGCAGTCCCCACGGCTGGGGGGGCTGCCCGCACCGGCCGGCCAAGG